TGATGATGATGATGATGATGATGATGATGATGATGATGATAGTTAGATATGGTGAGTAAAGGCCTTGTTTTAAAAAATAGTAAAACTAGTAAACATAGTGATCATATATGTGATAATTGTTACCGACTGTTAATATATGAATCACGCCAGGCCGGTCCGTGGAGTCTATTTTTTGCTGGGGCGTCCAATGGGTTTGCCCGAGGAGTCTATCCACCTAAAGTGTATTGCAACCCCAGGTCCAGGACCAAATCATCATCGCTCTTAAGTGCCCAGAATTTTTAGGTGCTTGACACTCCCAAAAAAAACGTGGCTTCCTGGAAACATTCGCGAAGCATCAATGGTTCCAACCCCGAGACTCCAGGGGAATGAGCCGGCCGCCATGGAAGTTTAATGGAAGTTGAGTCGAAATGGCTGTGGGTCATGGCACCGGGACACCCTGGTTGGCCTCCGAAAATGAACAGACTACCACCTACCCCGGACTTCAGCGGTCCCGGTGCCACCTCCCCACAGCCAACTCTCGCCGTTCTGAGCATCACCGATCCCCCCCCTCAAGGTCGGGACCCTGGCGCATGTCCCAAAGGAAACAGGCTTTGGCCGGTCCCGGCGAGTTCGATCATGTTGGAGGAAGACGGATGAAGCAACAAGAATCGAAATCCAATTGGGTGATGTTTGGTGTCTTAGCTCCCCTGGCACCCAAGAGCCGTAAGTTTGCCCAGAGGATGGTGAAAATGATCAAGAATTGACCTGATAACCCCCTCTCAGGAGGCAGTTGGAGCCCTGAGGAGCTGACACAAGGGCAAGAAGCTGCTTTTCGAAAGCGCAGGCGGAGAATTTGGAGATCAACCAGCTTTCATACTTCAGGAGGCACTTGTAGGCACACGTCTGGTCATCCAAATGACACAGAGCAATGCAAAAGAGGCCTTTCATGCCTTGGAGTCAGCATGACTTGCACTGAAACTGCAATGTTTGTTCCTCCTGATCCAGAAATCTGTTGAGTCGGGTGTGCCGATAAAAAGATGCAAGCTTTTAGTGTCGAACTGGTGAAGCCAAGCCTACAGTAAGCAACATGCTATGCAGCTTACGCGAAACTAGCCAGACAATCTATATAGAAACCTCAAATCTCCATGCAAATACCACCGGGTCTCCTGCGCTAGCTCACTGCTCACTACTCATCTCTTTTTCTTTTAGCTAAGTGTCGGCAATAAGCCCCAAGAGGACAATGGCCCAAAAGATTTGCCAATGGATTCAACATGAAACTGTTTCGACTATGTGCAATCGTCTTCATGAGGACATCTTCAATGCAAATGATTGACCAATGGCACACCATCTAGAACGCCTCAACTAGAGCCCAGGTGCAGCTAGGACTCACCCCACACGCCAAGAACTGGGGTCCACAAAGCGCTGCGGCTCGCGCCAGTGACCCTGGGTGTGGATGTGGAAGCTGCTCTTGGACAGCCTGCACCTGGGAGGATGTGGTGCCGGGAGGCTGGTGGGAACCCCAACTAAGGTGAACACACCTGAGTACCGGATCCAGATCCGACGGTTGGTTGATCCTCTTACAGCAGCCGATGCACTGTCTGCAAGTCTTAGCAACACCCTGAAAACACGCCAAGAAGTCCTGTTTTCACAGCAAGGCACCAGAATATCCTTCCTTTCTTGAAATGTATCGCATCATGGAATGCGCCTTTGTCATAGTTAGGAATTCTCAGCCAACGGCTAGCTATATGATATTGTATACTCATGCTGCAACTCAAAGGCCTTGGCCAAATGCTTGTCTGTGAGGAGTAGGAATGCCCAAATAAGCTCCTCCGATCAAAACGCTTGGAGGCCCCGAGGCGACCTCGACCATGCCCAAACAAATCCCAACAAGCGGATGGAGTCCAATTCATCCCGGCCAGAACGGCATCCCGCAAATAGTGCATCTGGAACTCACCAAGTGTAACCACTGAAGGACGTCTGAATCAGTGCCCTCCTGTCCTCCACTGTGTGTTCCCTTCTCACATTCATAGGCCGCCCGAGTTCCAGGCTGATCTTAACACATGGTTGGTTGACACTTCCCATGTTACTTTCTAGAATCTGTTGCCAGCTACTTTCCAGGCCATTTGGGCCATGACTGGGCGGTCAGTCATGCCGATCTCCTCCTCCGTCTTCCGCCCTAGGAGGCGCAGCACCCGCTTCTGCACCTTCCGTGCCTTCCGCTGCGTCGCCAGGTGGCTGGAGGGAAACTCGGCCAATGCCAAGGAGGAGCTGTTGTAAAATAGCCTCGGCAAAAAGCAACATGGTTGTCAGCGGGTTTATCAACAGGTCACACCTCCCCTCTGGTGAAATGGGCACCTCTGTGGAGAAAAGGAGCGGATTTGGATCCAAGTTCTGCCAGTGGTCACCTTTTTTTTGTAAAGAATATTTTTTACTATGCGTGCGGCTGGTCTTCAGAAGAACCGAAGAACAGACCATGCCCATCCATGCCCAAACACCAAACCCACCGGGAAACGCCCGAAAAGTCTTCGTCCCACGAGTCGCCTGGTGGGGATCTTCTCCAGTGGCCTTTGCAGATCGGCACAGCGCCATGGCAGGTCCTTCGGCCAGTCGATGCCAAGCACTAAGGAGGCGTTCAAACCCCTGGCGCACACAGAGAGACGCCCGAAACCACCGGTTTTAAGCGGCGTCTCTAGTGACACCGCAGGGGAGGACAGAGAACGTGCAAGGTGTGTGGGTCTGGATGGCTGGATGTGCATCCATCTCGCATCAAAAATGGTCAAGTCGAGGGCAACAAATAGGACAAAAACTGGAAAATATGGGACGTGTCCTGGAGGGTCACACAAAACTCTGACTGAAGGCTCCTCACCCTCACTTCCACCGACTTCCAGCTGTTTAACTGTGTTTTCAGTTCACCCGCCTCCCAAGCTGAGTGCAAAACTGCGACAAGGCCATGACATGCATGGAGATTGCATCCCTGGTCTGGTTCACATCCCACTGCAAGCGCCGCGCCAGCTGCTTCCCAAACTCCCGCCAGCTCACGGGGACAATGCCTCGGCTTCTCACGGGAAGACCAGGAAGACCTCTCCCTTTGGGGTCCCCCTTCTCACAGCCTGACTAGAGATCCCCAAGCTTGGTGGACTGATGGTAACATCAGCTAAAAACTCTCACTTGACCGAAGGGTGAGTCTGGAACAGAATTCAGCTTGAAATTCTTCATGCGTCATGCGAACTCTTCATCTTTGACAGTGGATTCAAATTTGACAGGTGCCCTATAATCGCCTATAATGCTGTTCCCAAACCAATACTCCTCCCCTTCCAAACCACGTGGCCCCGCGCCATCGCCGGCACCCCCACATCCGGGTGCACCAGCAGCGCGCTCCCCACGCCAGCGCCGCGAGCCGTGGCTCCACCGCTCGGCACTGCCCAGGCCGGGGGAGGCCGTGGGAGACCAGCGAGGGCAACGAGCAGTGCATAGGGCAGCAGCCGGGGGTGGCTGAAGCGTGCCATGGATGGAAACGCGCTTGTAGATATGTGCATATATTATGCATACGTTACATACGTGTGTGTATGTATATGTATATATATGTGTGTGAATAAATAGGGTTTGCATGTTTGATAATGTTCTTTTGGCTGAGGTGTGCAAATTGAAAGATGCAACGACAGAGCGTGGGTGGGTAGGTGGCTTTGGTGAGTTGTGAATGTTCAAAAATATTGGTGGCACGGTGGCACAAAGGGTTGCCAAACAAACATCTCCAACAATGTACCTACTATCTATCTCTATTTATTGTATGATTGTTCTGGCTACAGGCTGCACTGCATGGATGAGCCTTGCAGTTGCTGTCATTGTGATACTGTAAACATCTGTAAACCACTGGGCTAAGCCTTTTGAGTTCCAATTCATATATACCATGGATTCGCTCTAAGTCTTTCCTCCGCACCCGTGTGTTCGACATGTTCTCTTCCCCAAAGCCCTTCCTTGATATCGCTTAAACTTGCGACCAATTCTTGAATTGATCCTTCGCTGACTCCAAGAGTGGCAAGGTCTTCAAGCTTCGATTTGTTCTTCAAGCCCTTTTGGAGGCTTCTTCATGAAGAACGCACAGAATTGCTAAGCCGTGAAGTGGCTTCTTCACAGTTCTTCTTAGCAATTCTGTGTACAGTATATATTCTGTTCGTAGATCTTGAGCATGCCATCCCTGCTTCCCCGCTTCCGCACAGAAGACACGCCGACAGAAGGCACGCGTTCCGCGTTCCCGTCGTTCCCCGGTCGATTGGGTGAAGCCCCGCCATCCCTCAGATCCCGCCCGTAGGTTTTCAAACGAACGCCTTCGTTGCTGGACTCGACGGCTGCACCTGGCGTCGACTCAAAGCTGAGGTGGAGCAAATCGTCTGTGTCGTGGTGTCTTTTGTGGGATCTGGCATCTGGGTCTCCCTATTCGAAGGTACACCAGAAATGACATGAAAAAACACAAACAGTTCACCCTGGAACTATTGGGTGAACCCCATGTATAAATGCCCTCTTTGCTTGTTTCGAATTTCAGGGCGAAGTCGTTCGGTCCATTCACCCTGTGACAGAATAGCAGGTCTGGTCGAAGTATAGAATCAAGGAGATGGTGGATCGATCTGGTCCCAAGGATGGATCGATCTGGCCCCCAAGGTTGCAGAAGAGACTACGTACAGCTTGCTTTCGTGTTGACTCTTGAACCCCCCCCAACAATTCGGTGCAAATCTCGAGATTTGAAGCACAACTTGGCAGGCTCCACTCCCCTTTCATTGCGACCTGTAAGCAACTTAGGCATCTTGGCCTTTACTGGTGACATGTTTGAGCATCTCCATGGTCAGACAATCCAACAGGTATGGTCTTGGTGACAAACGGCAGCACATAGCCTATCCAGGAGTTGGTCTACTATGATCTACTTCTCTTGCTACTGGTGGTCCGGAATGAGCGGCTCAAATATACAATCCCAACCCCAGATCTGGTCCAATCCAGCAAGATTCGATGATGACCTGTTGACCAAAAATAAAAAACACCGCATGTGCTTAATTGTCTTCCCCCTGCGTCTGGCAAAATTGATGTCAACATATTTCAATGTGATGGCCTTGCCAGGATCGCTCGGCTTTTTCTCCGCTTCCGGAGTGTTCCAAGTCAGTCTTTGGCGGCCCGAAAGGCACCTAGGCACCTGGCGGACCTGATCTGGTATCCTCCACGGATCGACGAATCCTTTAGGGTTAGAGATTGAGGAGCGCCAGATTTGAGATTCAAAGATCGCATCATCCGTTTCGCCCAAAGAGATTGGAGACTCACATGAGACGGAGATGTTCCAGGTTGTTTCCGGGAAGAGTGAAAAGGAAGGAGCGTCCTACTGGGAAGCATACAAGTTACAAGTGGTCCATGCCCGCAACATCGCAAAGAATTCCCACAGAATGCATGTTCATCGGCACCTTCACAAGCACGAAAATCGTCCATCCTTCATCTATATTATACCTTTCCAGTCACCTTTGAGATGGAAAACCGCCCCAAGCGCCGCTATCTATAAATATACATATACAGTAAATATATTATGATATGATATGATACAAAAAATATATATGTATATAATATATATATATAATTATATATAGATGTTCTTTATAATGCTGGATGACCAGGTACACTCTGAGCCGTCTTTGCCTAGGGCCTAACACGCAAAGGGCGCACTGGTGTTTCGGGCGCCCGAACCGGACTGAGTCGCTCTCGGCCCTGATTTCGGCCAAGCACATGCGCTGGCGATTTGCTCGGGTCACACCATCCATCATGTGGCAGTCCGTGCAACACAAATCATCAACCTGGCAGAGACCTCTGTGGTGCCGATTGGGGAGTTTGGCGGGAACGGGTGAAGAAGTTGTTCACAAGCACCAGCAGGTCACATGCCCCATGAAACAAAGGCCCTGAAAGCTGAAAATGGTCTTGGGAAACCTGCTGTTGGCCAAAGGAAGTCATCCTTTGGGTGCATGTTCAAAATAAGGCAATGGCCCTCCAAAAGCTACTAGAAACTGACTTCAACCAGCTGTGAAAGAGATGTTAGGAGGTTTATGGTTGAAATGCAGCAGTTTCTGGTTCGTAGACTCTACAAGCGCCCGGCTTTTTTGTACGTCCTGGACCATGCGTCAGGATGCGTCAGGTTTCAACATGAGATCACATCCAGCAGGTTCGGCCCTGAAACGAACATACAAATCAGAAAGCGATGCGTCAGGTTGCCATGGGTTACCTCTGCTCTTGAGGGTCCACCTGCGACCACCAGGCACGAAGTTCGGAACACCCTTTGCACAGTTCATTGACCTGTCCCTGGAGGTGACTCGCGCTGAACATCATTCCCTCTAGAATACAATGGTCAACTTGTTGGCCAAGCCATGCTTAGGGTTTGGGAAATCCAAGAGCTACAATCTGGGGGAGAGTTTCAGAGATCCAAACAACTAGCTCTTGGGTCTGATTCACTATGATTCACCCACTTCGATATGAGGAAGGCTGGCATGATGAACCCTCAGCGCTAGCAATGACCATGCAGCCATGCATGACCCACGCCCTCAAGGAGTCTCCTGCGCTTCAAAAGCAGTGGATTTGGAGTGCTGATTCCTCCCCATGGAAGACCAACAAACCAGCAAACATTGGTTGACTTTACAAATGCAACAACATATTTCACAGTGTGTAGATAAAATGCTTTAGATCCCACTCATGGATGTACTTTTTCAAGCTTCAACAGTCGCCCGACATGTGCACAATCCAGTGGTGATCAGCTCGCAAGCCAAGAGCATCAGGGCTTGTGGATAAAAACCATGTCAAACGCATCTCTGTTGTATCTTTAGTTCCTGAAAGTTTGCCTCAAAGTTGGATATGTCTTCCGGTAAAGTTTGGGAAAGCTGTCAGTTGAAGAAGGGTAATGTGAGAGCTCTGTTCTACCTCCAGTCAAAACGTCTCTCTCTCTCTCTCTCTCCCTCTCACTCTGCATAGAAAACGATCGATCTTGAAAAAACGGCAATCCTGTTCAACGCCCAAGCAGGCCAAATGTATGAGCCTTCTCGTAAACATTTATATATAGGTGCTTATGAGCCAAAGCAGTTGGGTGCTGGCTTTCTCTCCTAAAGGGAAGCACAGATAAGCACCTGCACCCGACTTCCCACAACCAACATCCACGTCCTCCCGCATGAGGATCTCGGCCCCCCCGGTCACAGGATCTCGGTCAGCTGGTACAAGTGGGACGGAGGCATCAGAATGAAAAGGAGTTTGCCCTTTTCTCTTGTTCCGACTCCTCTCCTTTCTTTTGACTCTTGATCTTCCTCTTGGTATCTTGATTCTATCCTTTAATTTCGTGTGTTTTTTGTCCTTCTCTTGCTTGTTATCTTTATGTATTTCTGTCTCGTATGTATCTTTTGCTCTTCTCTCCTCTTCTCTTTACCCTGCGCCGCTGCGCTGCTGCCTCGCTTTCAACCAAGTAGCCTACCCTGGCTGAGAGATGAAGGAAAGGACCGATAGTATTATTTCAAAGAGTTCAAATGAACCACCTATCAACTGATGACTTGCCACTGACCCTTACAATCAATCTAAAAGTAAGTAAAGGTATAGTCCCCCAAACAAATTAAAAGAATATGTAAATCCTACTGTAAATCCTCTCTAACACGTATTATACTAAAACTCGTGTCATATCGTTTTGGTCTTTTGGCTGACCATTAACGCCCAGCCCCTACCCCCTCCGTTGAAACCGCCACGCTTCGCAGTTGTCGGGGCCCAGGGGCGTCGTCTTCACCACCTCAGGACAGCGCCCGAGATGTCGTCGAGCCGGCGGAGCGCGTTTGGATTCACATCTGAGCGCGTCTGCCGGTTTCCGCCAACATGCGGTTGGTGTTTCTTTCTGCTGACCCGTGGGTATATCGTGAACAAGAGAGGACGTCTATAATCACAATGAAATTCGAGGCGTTTCCCGGTACAGTAATCTCTTCGCAGTCACAACGTGTCCGAACAAATCATCAGACAAACTCAGCGCAAAAACAAACTCGACCCAAATCCGCATTCTGCACGGTCTTTTCATGTCTTTTCCGACTTCTGCGCACAGCCCAGAGCATGTCACAAGGTGGAAAACCAAGACTTCTCCCACCTCAGCCAGTCTCAAATTCAAAAGCGGCTGCTTTAGCAAATCAAGGCGAAACAATGAGTAAAAACGCCATATGTTCTGGTACATCGAACGGGTCTGATTCATAAATTATACATATCATATATATATATATATACACCACTATAGGGTCGTTGAACCGAGTTTTTCACCGCAAGACTCGCTAAATCAGAAAGACTCTCAACATCTGCAAAGCCCAGAGATCAGCGCAGCAAAGCACCTCTCCCCCCGGTCTCGACCGCGAAAGACGACCACGAGGTCGGTGCTTCGTAGTTGGTCGCGATGGTGAAGCACGACGCAAACCGATCTATTGTACCTGCCACAGACCTACTGCTGACACCCAAAGTGGGAGTGTCTAAGTGCTTCAAAAGGTCGTATATCCCTCAGAATCTAGTGTGGGATGGGCATGACCATTGTCATTATCAACCATGTAGGCGCGCGCTCTACACAACACCGCTCACTTCAATGGGCAAATATCATCCAAGAAAGTGTCACAGGAGCTGCTACCCCCCTTGCAGCCTGCGTCCTTTGTGCACAAAAGGCTTGACATGTTTGACAGTCTTCCGGTTTGTAGGTTGAAGAACGCAACCCCCTATATATTGACCTTATATGCTAAATAATGCATACAATACGTTTTACAGATATATACATATATATATATATATACAAACTGGAGATTGTGTTCAGTTCACACTCTGCAAACAGGCGTGCCGCCTGCCAGGATCTGTTCAAAACCTGGATCACCTGGCGGAAGGCTGTCTCAGTCAGCCGTACCCGAAGTGGTCGTGGCTCCAAGTCGTACTGAAAAGACTTCAAAAACATGTCAAAACAAAGACCTGAAAAGGGGCGTGTGCAACTGGCCAGGGCGTGTTCAACCCAGCATGCTTCAGGGCTTTCAGTTTCCAGGCCAAGAAATTGAACAACAACCCCGAACGCTGCTATGGAAGCCTTGCAGCTGCCAGCAATTGAGCAGAATGGCTGGCCTATGCTGGCCTGCTAAGTAAATCCACCCTTACACTTTTTAGGGCTCGTCCTGGTTTCTCTCAAGCCTCTATCCTGGTTGCATAGACACTGACTAAGCATCGACCAGCTGGATCTAAGCATCGATCCGCTGGATCTAACACCTGATTCAGCGGTGGCTTCCAACCACCTGACGAGTAGGTTGATGGGATTCATCCTGGAAAGTCAAGGTTGAACCTTCAACTTGGGAAACACCAACCAACTTGCCTTTGCAGATATTCCTCTTGCATCCTCTAATGTCGGGGCAGAAAAACATCGAATCCGCGTGATTTGGGTGTTGCCTCTTCCGAAAAACTGCTGTCCGACCGAAACGCCTCAAGGGGCGGCCCAGGCCGCGAGAGAGACCAGAGCTGAGCTCCTGGAGTGGTCCCGGTCCACGAGGTGAAAATAGACCGCGACACTCCATGTTTCTTCATGGTGAATCGTGGATAGGGAAATCGGTTTGTGGAGGAGCACTCTCTCTCTCTCTCTCGAAGCAGGTGGTGAACTCCACTTCCCTGACAATGTCAGGGAGTGTGCACAAAAAGAAAAACGACAGGCATGGATCAAGTCTCGTGGGCACCAACTTTTGGACATCATAAGTAAGGATCATGGGTGGGTAATGACCCTGGGTGGATCTTGAAACAAGCAATCAAGTCCTGAGAGTTTTGTCAGGTCTGGGAACTGCCTGTTGGAAAGGAAACACGGAAGGCAAAGGAAACACAGGGGCTCAGTGGTGGATTCTATTGCAGCAGCGGGTGAGGTTTCGTAATATTCATCGTACAAGGGTAAACACTTCATGTTTTGCAAATCAATTCCAGAGTGCCTGCGGACATTTTGGCACTGTGTTGATGGGTGCATATGTACCATGACAGGCGTTTCCAGGTGACAACTCAGAAACCACTTGTTAGGGCGCCAGCAGCCTGTTGGAGGGTGTATATATATATATAGTTCACTATACGTCCTTTTCATAAGGAATCTTCACAAAAAAAAAAAAAAAAATCAGCTCAGAGTTCCAAGACCCGACTAACAATAGGCCATTCTATTTAGATATAGAACACGAAGAAAAGGAGAGATGAAAAGAAAAACGACCAACAAGTGTTTAGGAAGAACGTGAACTCGGACTCACTTTCACAAACCAAACTTGGAATTTGCTCCAAACGCTGGATGAACGGAGAAGCAATAAAGGTGTGCGTGGTGCAACGTTGCCATAGCCTATCGAATCGTACAACTGATCCGAGGGACGGTGAACAATGCACACAACAAAGTACACACCGCGACTCACATTCCATACCACAAACAATCAAACATGTATATACACCATTGGAAACCCTGTGCAAGAAACACGGGTAGTGTATGTTTGTACCGTTACTGCGTCATGCCATTCATGGTGCACTTTTCACACGGCAGCCTGGCGAGAGATGCGGCCATCACCATCTGTGTCGAACCTTGGTCGACGAGCTGGCAAATGGCATAAATCGCTGGGGAACCTAGCAAACAGTTATACAATGCGCCATGGATATCAATGGATGAAAATGATCCCATACCGCAGACATTTACAGAATTGCTTGGTTGGCCCCTTGTTCGGATTGCAGTGGGCCAAATGGAAGTTGGATGGGGTAGGGTGTGTGCGGATGTGTGACGTGTGTGGTCTCCATGTGGTCAGGGCGTTGGATGGGGCTCCCTCAATCTTGCTCTCGACCAGAGACTGGCTACTAGGATCTTCCCAGCTGCAAAGACATCTGCAGCTGGGGTGAGGATTGGCCGGCCCCACCAGCGGTACTACCAGCGGTCGTGCTGGGTTGAAATGAGATACATGAGTACAGTAAAGGTGCTTTCTTGCAAAAAAAGGGTGCAACACGTGCTCCAACCCATGTGCAAGTGCAACCAACACAAGGTCTATATAATCGTACCCTCATGCTTTTGAAAAGGTTACGAGAGAATCCTTCTGGCTTATTCAACGGATCCACTTCCATCCTTGACGTGTTGGACCCCCGTGTGCCCCGAAACCTCCCCTTCCAACTGCCCGTTCGGCGAAGCAACTTGTCAAAAAGGTCCTTGCTGTCAGGAGATGCCTCGGTTTTGAAGTTGGAGACTACTACTCACGTTGGGTGAAAACAAGTGGCACCTAGGCAGGACTCGAGGGGATTGGCAATGGTTGCGATATCATGATTGAACTGATTGAACATGTCCGGTCTTTATGTTCTCTGCAGCCAGGCTTCCGAGTTCAACCTCTCCTCTCCTCTCCTCTCCTCTCCTCTCCTCTCCTCTCCCCTCCTCCCTCCCTCCCTCCCTCCCTCCCTCTCTCTCTCTCTCTTGGGGGTTGAGTATGGTCCAGTGCCACTGTGCCACTGTTGAGTAAAATTGAAAAAATACAAAGTATATATATATAAGCAAATATATGTACATATAATATAATATAATATATATATATATAATAGAGCCTTGCCTATGGTTTGTGTAATCTTCTACGTGTGGGAATGTTGACATGCAACAAAACACTCGGTAACACATCCAAATTTGACGTAAATCAATGCTTGCACACTATCCTGAGACTGACATCTCAAGCACACCCTAAGGCGCGTAGGATTTCAGCAATCTGTTTGCCATCTTTGCCTGTACTTAGCTAATCCGTTCATGCTCGCCGAATGTGTAGTTGAACATTGTCTTGCCAGGCACAGGAGTTTAGCAATAGTCCTCAAAGCAGGTTTGATTTCCTCACCGGTGTTATAATGAAAACATCTAGAATCTAGACTACAGCAGTAGATTTTTAAGTCTAAGCGAGGTCAACTTATCTGATCATCTGAAGTGTTCTTAGTCCGAACAAATCGACCCTGGATCAAGAGACAATGCACCCATATTGGGAGTGTTAGTGCGCTTTCAACCCTATGGATCCACATACCTTCTCAGGTTCGGTAATTGGACCCTCCTGGCGCCTACATAAATAGTCCTTCTCAGGTTCGGTCTGTGGATCCATAGGGACAGATTTGAAGCCATGACATGCTCGCCTTTGTGAGGCTCGACTTCGTGCGCCAACACGGATGGGATCGCCGGGTCCCCACGCCTCCCCGGCCACCATGGCCGCCTCAGGCAGGCACGAGACGCCCCGCAACTCGACATGGTTTCGTGGATGGCATGGGTTTCGAGGAGCAAAGGACGCTACGGACGGGGCTGGCATCGCGACTCGAACCGAGCGATCGGACGCGGCTCCACAATCCGGGCGGGGATCTACTTACATGTTAGTTCCAAGCGTCGAGTCGTCCTACGGGGACGGCGCTTGTGCCCACGGGAGGGAGTTGGTCCAAGTGAGCGGGAGGAACTTGCTCACCAGATCCGAAGCCGATTCCCAGTGTCACGCGGTTCCTAAAACTCAAGACGTTCCAATTGCAATGCGATTCCAAAAGGCTTCACTTGGCCACACAATTAAAGTTCCATATAAGTTGGAGGCAAGAATTGTTGAATCAATGTGTTCACTTCTCTACGCCGGAGTACTAGTACCTCCCAACGTGGTGTTATATGAGAAAGCATTGAGAAAGCAAGGCATCTATCCAAAGACTTTGGATGGATGTCTTGCTTTCTCGTATGATATCATATGACCAAACATGGGAAACATCACATATCCCCAAGTGGAAATCTCCGAACGTGGCACCACTAATGCAGGAAAATATGCAGCGCATTGAAAGGCACCGGTGGTTTCCACCACACAAAGGTGTTTGACACGACCTCCGGTGGGCTCGCTGAAGGTTCTGACTTACCGCCTGGTCCCAGAACCCCGCGCCGCGCCCGTTTTGGGTGCCAAGGATCTCCTGCTGCTGCCCCAGCCGCCTTGGGTGGCTGGAAAATCTCTCTTTCGGAAAAAAGTGTGGCATGGAATGGACCGGTTAAACCTTGCTTTGTCCTTTCCCTGCCCTCAGGTGTTGGCGTAGTTCAGCCACAATGGATCCTCTTTGTGATGTTTCTTCGCTCGATGATTGCTTAGTGTACAATGTGTATATATGTCGTTATGCTAATAAATATTGATAAATGATAAATCTATAAAACCGTATACCGTATATCATTGAATCCTTTGAATATAGCACAGGCAAGAACATACAAGAACGATCCGCTTGGGTCTCGGAAGAAGGCACATCACATCACAGTCGAGTTGCAGTGTACTCAAAGTCCTCCGCATCATACATGTACTGGCGCGCTGGACAGCGCTGTCACTATCACCATTGACCATTGATTGCATGGGGATGGCCGGGAGCCAAAGGATGAGCAGTGATCCGAACGAAGACCAGGCCATGATCACAATTAAGCTAACTTGCTAAGTTAACGCTCTCTAAAAGACACCACAAGCGAAGATGAACCGCTACACAGGCGCTGTTTCACAAAGAGCGTTTTCTCCATCATCTTCCTCCTTACCTGGCGTTCCTTGCCCCATCTCATGCTGGCTCCCTACAGTAGCCAGTGTTGAAACCAAAAAATGTCCAAAATAACTGCCCAATCTGCAACCACCTGATTTCTACGAGCTTTGGGTCATACCGTCCCGCTCTTTTGCGGGGTTTTGCCCCGAAACACTCACGATGTCAAGAGTTGATGTCTACTCCCATGCAGTGCGTGTGGAGAAGGGCCAGTGGGCCTGCCTGGTGGGGGTGTGAAGGGCGCTGGAATCCCTGCACCGGATGGAGCCCTGCTCCTGCCTGGCGTCTCCCCCAGGTGCCTTGTACTCTTCCTCTAATCGGAGCATCCGGGAGCTCTTCAAATCGAACCAGGCGCCAATAAAGCCTTGACCCATTCAAGGCCCGTTCGGGGAGTGAGGTAGTGAAAATGATCCGGTTTGCAAGGCTGTTTCTGAAGGTGTGGGAGGTAAGGGTGGATCTTCTTCAAGCCTCTTCGTTGTTTTTGTGTTTTGGATGTTCGTACTTTGTTTTTGATCTGCTTTGCCTTGAAGGAATCAAAAGAGACTAGGTTGGGAGGCAAGGCCTTGGGGGTACTAGCACACTAGCCTGATTCAGACCCCAGTGTTTCTCAGAAAAGCTTCATCAGAATCAAAATAAAACAAATAGATGGTTAGATGGGTCACGCCTAAATGACTGAAGAACCCTATTCCGACATTGAATCACCTCCATTGATCTATAAATATATATATACACGTATATACAGTATGCGTATATATATATATATATATTTGTCCAACCTGTTGTTCCTTCAGAACACAGTGCACCTCCAAAAACTTTTATATGGCTTCTTTCCGGCTGACCTGCTCAAGACGTCTGCCTCCAAAAAACGTCTTGGGGGTTCTCAATGAAGTTCCCAAACTTTGGCAACCCTTGCCTGGACCCGCAGAGGGAAAGAACACTTTTGCACCACAGATCCAAAGGAGCTGCAACAATTCGACTCGCCAGCATCAAACGCCAAGTGGCACACGGTCCCGACGAAGCAGCTCAGGCAGCCCACCCACACCCCGAGCCTCAAGAAAAGCTGGTGTGGGTTTGTGCCTGAAACATCCTGAAACAATCTCCCATTGGTCATGCTTTGTCCAAAGCCATGCAACATCATGCAACCATGTGCATCATATAGGCATATGGGGTGGGGATGGGGTGGTGATGTGAACTCGTCTAACGCCCACGGCAGGCCATCATGAACGCGCTGCACCCTAGCTGGAAACTCTTCGACTGCAGCCGGCCTCTTGCAAGCTGGTCTTTTCTTCAGCCGAACTGCGTGTACCACCGATCCGGATTCCGCGTGTACAGCCGATCCGGATTCGTCCTTAAGATTAGTTGTCTCAGAAAGAGGCAACTGCAGTCCTATTGTATAAAATGAACTTTAAAATAGTTACATCACATACGCCATAGTCAGCTTCGATCAAACTCATCCAAAGGCTGTATGATTCATCGCCAAGAAGCTTTCCGCAGTAGCCAAAGTCACCATAGAAGCCCTGCAGCCACAGGAACAAGCCTGGGAGGGGCAGGATACCCAGTTTTGGGCTTTAGCCTATGATCTATACAAAAGTGGACCACACTTAATTAGGCATGTCCAATCATCCCCCCCATGCTGCAGGAGTTGCATCTCTCCGTCCCAAAATGTTGCTTCACCGCGTGTGTTCGACCTTCGTCCCGTCCACAACGCCGTCCCAACGCCGACCGGGCGAAGACCGGGCGTCCCGGCCGTACTGCACAAAGTTGCGAGGGAATCCACACACCTGGCGCGGTGGCTTCGAATGAGTGCGACCAAGATGCATCCCGAAATAGGGCAAGACTCAAGCCACAGCCCGCGATCCCTCTTTGGACGTTACATGTTCTCCGTGAAAACGCCCACCTCCTCGAAGAAAAGGCCGATTTCTTTGATCCAAGCAGGAAGGTTGGATGTCTTGGATCAAGTGGAGTACTCTTGGGCATGTGGGGGGAGGGAGCGCCCCGGGTGTTTACTGATGTTGGGAGGGTAGATGCAACGAATCCTCTCTTCCAACACCTTGGGGCTGGAGCATGATGGGAAGGGCACTGGCCCCTGCCTGCATTGCCAGCGGCTGGAGCATGGCAGTGCCAATGAGGCCAAAGATCAGGGCGGTGTATTTAGGCACCGCTGTCATACCTGAGCTGTTGACATGAGGGAGAGTGATGAAAAAGAGATGATGGTAGTGCAATGATGCGCACATGCACCCAGCAGAAATCAAACATAGACCCAACTTGTGCCCCGGGGCCCCGCTCTGTGGGTCCACTAGGTCTGCCAGTGGGTATTGGACTCTTCCGTTTGTGTGCAGTCCAATAATAGTGACCTTGAGTCCCAACCACTAGTTATATAAGATAACTGCTGCTACCGGCTGCTACCCTTGGTTTACGATCACAACTGTGCTTCAGCGGTGTGGATGCTTGTCCTTTCCGGTGGTCCACCACTTTCCACCTCGATTGTTAGAAGGAAGGTGCACCCTTGTCACTTCTGTGCCCAGTGCACCCTTCCTCCTTCTCTCAACCATCCAGCCGTGGTGCCAAAGTTGTTCTGCCACAATTGATTGCAATCCGTGCCTTGCCACGTGGTGAGATCTCCCGCTCGGGGTAGGTGGTTCGTGCCCACTCTGTCATCATTGTCATTGTCATATGGAACATCACCGAATATCATAGGGTTCACTGAAGAATTCCCACAAAGGCAACAAAGGAATCTGTCTGGTTTGATGAGCTGATGAGGGAGCACCACAGGGAAAAAAGAGGCCGTGCAGGTACATGCACGAAGCTTCAGGTCAGGTGACACATCAAATATTTACAACAGTTTCTGAATCCACCCATGATTGACTTTCCGAAAGAAAGCCCCTCACTCACATGATGCCCGAGCTCGTATCATGAATTCTTTCGTGAAATCATCCGGCCAAAACATGCCCCCAATCTCGATTCGGTCTGCGTCTCGGACACGGAGAATTGGCGCCGGGTCCAAGGGCGCTGGGTGTTGGTCGACGATTAACCCACAAATGACCGCGGTTTCTCAGCTCAAAGAACCTTGTCGAGGCTTTTTCAATGTCTGACTTCAACGTCAGGGGAAAGAGCTGCATGAGAAAGAGGATGCCATCTAGATTCTTTATATGTTTGATTCTCAATGAGTTTCATGATCCTGAATCCAAAGGTGCTTCCCTGGGCTTCCCCAATTCTTCACGCCGATCCGCCCCAAGGTCGCGATCCCGATCCGTCAAGATGCTGGTTGCCGAGTCCATCACCCAGGAGCAAGTATTCCAATAGTAGATGAATTTGGGCGGCTTGTTTGCAACGTAAATGAGACCAATGATAATCTGGCCGGACACTCAAACCGAAGACATATGACATGACACCTAGAAAATCAGAACACGGGTCTTGAGATATCTTTGAGGATGCTAGAATGGCATGGTGTTGAAGGCTAGGAAAGCCACACACACATTCTACTGCAAGTCAAGGAACCTCTGTTCTTTGATCATATGTGCATCATATATATATAAGCATGTGAATCATATATATATATATATTACAATTGTATCTAATTGTCAAATAGTGTAAATGTATATACGGTATAGGGAAGAGAGAGAGAGAGAGAGCGCGATTGAATGCAAAACCTCTTTCCACCCAAAATCTGGGCATTTGAGTTGAACGGTCACCACGACACAAAGACTGTCTAGAGTCTAGCCACTGAATTCTTGCTGACTGGAAAGAAGATGAAAGAAGGAGCTGGCATGAACTGGCACTGGTCAATGCAGGGATGGCGGGAAAACAGCCTCCTCCATTTAAGTACAGTACTCAACCCGGATTCTGGGGCTCCATGCAAAATCAGTTGATCTTCCGAGATTCTGTCGCACTGAAACTGGCCCTAAACCTAAACCGTTTCAATCAGTACATACACCCCCAACATGCAGCCTTCGTTCAATCATCGAGAAGTCTGACTGGATCTGTCTCCAAATATCTCCAGATCATAACAGCAAATACACCACTTGGATCCACTATATCGGTGTTCATGAACGAAAATATGTGTGTTTCTTATGTTTCCTTCTACTCCCAAGGTGCGTTCACTCTTCTCTGACCTCTTCACTCCCAGGCCGCACCGTAAGGACGGAGGTGATGGTGCCACAAATGGACAACAAATTGCCGGCCATGCAAGGCCCAGCCGAAGGTGCGCCTGGGACGTCACGGGCGAGCTCCGGTCCGGCCCCCTTTTCCGGTGGATTGATCGGTCCAGCCGCTTTTGGGTGAGGCTCTGCCCTTCCTAGAGGCGGAGCCGGACCTTCAATTCAGTTGTCAAGTGAGTCAATTGAGCAGCTTCGAAAACACCTATAAATTACTTTTTTGTATAATCCAGCTTTCGCAGAGCTTTCGCGGAGCTTTCGCGGCCTGCATTTTAGCTTTCGCGGAAGGTGTGGTGTTATGTGGGTCTTTCGCGGCGGCTTTCGCGGCGATTCGTTTTCGATCGGGAAATTCGATTAGGATGTTATATAATAATGCGATTGATTGATCTAAGTTATTACCTGTATAAGTGTCCTTAAGGTGGTCAAAGCTGAGCAAATTTCTTTCCGGGAACATCCTGGCACAAGGAGTTGTAGCAGCACCGTTCAAGTATTATTGCTGTCATCAAAAGAGGAGGAAAACTTGCGGAAACTTTTAGGGGCTACCTTTCCCGGAGATTTTCGACTTTCGCGGTTCTTTCGCGAGGCTTTCGCGCGGCTTTCGCAGGAATTCGTCTGGGATTTTCGATTTTCCCTGAAACACTTGCTCTTCAGTGCTGGCTGGCTGGCTGGCTGACTGGCTGGCTGCGGCTGCCTACTTAAACATATAGTCGCCCACACACGACATGCACAAGAAATTCGACTTTCGCGAAAGCTTTCGCGACGCTGTTCTTCTGGTTTTCTTTCGCGGGGCTTTCGCGAACCTTTCGCGACCTGCGTTTTGGCTTTCGCGAAAGAATGTGAGATTGCAGTTTGCACACTTTTCATCATAGAGGTTTTTGAAGCTGCTCAATTGGGTGTAAAAGAAAGGACATTGAATTTCCGGTGACTCAGCCACCAACGTCTACTTGTTTTATCTCGAATTCTCGACTCTGCGTATCCCGACCTACACCTTGGACCAGCTATTTGGATTGTCACATGCCTGAGATCCACTCGAACAAGAAAAGCTTGAAGCATCAGGTAACTGCAAATGGATTTTGATGTCCATTCGGTCTAGGACCTCTTGCAAAACTTGCTGGTTCCAGATCATTCCTCCACACTCCGTCAGACTCCAGGCCAAAACTCGGATCTTGTAAGTCTGAGTCTGGAGGGGGTGGGGATCATCAAAAGCCCACCATTGTTGCGAAGCAAACTTCATAACCATGGTCATGGTATATTAAAGTCCGCAATGGCCCGCAATGGCTGCACAAGGGGAACACAAACAATCTGGATCATGTTCCTCGCGTCTTACCAAAACACAGGGCATTAGAAGATGCAGTCCATCGAGTCCTTGTCAACATTCAATCTTTCTAGCGGAGCCAGTGGGATGTATACATCCGAATAGTAGGCGCATATTAGAGATTTCATCCACGGACCTTTCCAAACTGTCCCACACGTGTAGCGAACAGTCTTGATACGTCTTGTTGTATCAGCTTTGGAGAGCAAGTGGAAGGACAAAAAGAGAGAGAGAGAGAGAGAAAAAAAAAAACATTCCTTGAATCTCCTTGAGCTCTTGATCAGTAAACTCCCTTATAATCTTCTATTGACGGGTTAGGACGCTACTAGGAACAAAGTGCATCGCTTCTAGTAACAAGTGCCTTACTAGTAGTAACAAGAAGCTATTTGAAAGAAGTGCCTCGTCAAAGGTCCGACGGGTCCCGATGGGTCCCGACGGTTCCACAAGGGCACAACAGGTCGGACATGGTCGGACTTCGGGTCGGAACGGTGACGTCGAGTTGCCCAGAATAGCTGGGCCAGCATAGCTGGGAAAAGCTCGTGTATCCCATTTCAAACTGTCCCAAATCAAAGCAATGTAAAGCAGGTCTATTCAGCTCCCTCCTGTGCACATCTGTGCACCACATACGACAAAGCATGCCTACAGCCTACATACTGTAGTTACTGTTGCTGTATCTGGAACCTCAAAAAAACCCTCATCTGCACCTGCCCAAAGGCCTTCGTGTGTGGAGGGGTGTATCTTCACCAATCCAAGCTTGGAGCCTTTCGTTTGTGGAGGTCTGGCTGATGCCCCGCACCAGTGCTGCCCAGTGACCCGTCATCTTGCGGAAGCAAGGTTTGTGGGGGGCCGGCGGATCGGGAGCACTGAGCCAGCTGCAGGATGCACTGGCCGTCCGAACAAAGGCTGAAACGAAAGCTGTCCAAAGCATGTGCTGCCCCCGATGGCTTGGGTGTGAACATGTGGTGGTCTCCAATATGCCAATCCATGAGCGCTGTCCTTGAGGCGAACCTACCGCATAAACAGGAGCCTCGAGACTCCGCGAGAGACCGTGACCTCACGACATGCAATTGGCCCCAAAAGGCAAAGGCAGGGAATGTTGAGGGGGTTCTCAATTGAAACCACCCACACCGTTGCTTGCATGTACCACCAAAGGATGGTGCACACACACATAATATATACATACATCATCGAGAAAGTGGGTAAGGGGCGGATATGCATCCATTCATTCGGTCCAAAAAAGACAAACGGGAATGCAATGCATGAAAATTAAATAGTTGGTGGTATCCTCCTGCAAGTTCCAAGAGACACTGATCCCCTTCTAAAAGCCGCTGGTTGCTGCACTCCTATCTGGTTAATGCATTTAATGTCTGTTGATATGTGTTGTAACTTGTAACTTATTTGCTCACCATCCGCAAGAATGGACAGCTTACTGTACTGCTTGGCTCCACATCCACTGGATCTCATGTCGATGTGGGTCATGTGTCCAACACCAGGCCCCTCTCAGGCCACCGCCCTCGTGCGCCTGTGGTCGCCGCCCGCGGGAGTCACGAGTCCCGGCTCGTCGATGACGGGTGCAAGCCGAACCGAACGACGCCGCGAGGGCTTGCCGAACTCGGGGGCAAAGAGATCCCAAAAGGTTGCAAAAAGGATTTAACAGAGTTGGGGAAGCAATTTAAAAAAAGCTGGGATGGTCATGTCCAGCCCACGGATGCATCTCCTAGGAGCATTAGATCAGGCAGTGCTGGATGCCCCATCGAGGTGTCAAACGCATGAGGCTTCATGGCTTCTGAGCTGAATGAAATACAAAATATTATATTATTATATACACCTTTTGCATTTCCAGGGGGGCGTCTATTGCCTCACAGGTCAAGGGATTTAGAATGGATGAACTGAACCCATCAGGAGCTGCTAGAGTCTGGAGCTGCTGAGTCCATCATCCTCTTCAGGCTGACCACTCCAAGAAGCCGCTCGCCCACGGAGACTGCTTCGGTATGAGGAAAAAAAGGTGATCAAATTTGGAAATGGTCTACCAGTAGCGAAGAGGTCGTGCATCACTTGAGCGTTCAGTTTCAAGGGTTTACATCTCTCTCTCTCCCTCTCTCTCTCTCTCTGCCTCCCTCCCTCCCTCCCCTCGGTAGAGACCCCCGTGACTTGAATCAACTTGCATCGAGAGACTTACCATGAGAACCCGAATCTACACAGCCCAGCCTCGCTGGGTTCCGGCTCCGGCTCCTCCTGCTGTTTCTTGTGGCCGATGAGGTCCTGAACCACGTTGCTAGAGAGGGTCTGCGCGCATAAAAACCAGTCGATGGTGAAGATGAACTGAGGGCTCTGAAGGTGAACTGAGGGCTCCTACTCCTACTTACTACAGTAAATCTTATAAACATAGGGATTTCTTTTGGGACTCATGGGACGACTAGATTGCCAGATAGGCCTAAACATGGCATTCTCCTGTCTTGGGGTTGCCTCAGTCTTTAGAAGACCCTCAACCCCAGCTGCACCAGCCAAAGCATGCCAAAGCCACCAATTCTGTCACTGGTATTGACCCCAGAAACAATGCTGACCCCTTTAAACAGTAATTTATGTCCATTGGAATGCGGTGTGTCATTGTGTGGCATCATGAAGAACGTGTTTTTCAGACGTTGAACATCGATGTTTATCAAAATTATATGGAAACATTTGTATATATATATATACATATAATATATACTATAATATACAGTATAAGGAAGCAATAGGAAAAAACAGCGTATTTTTTGCCCCTTCAAGAAGTACATGAGGCGTTCATAACGAGATGAGTACATCGGGTTGCGAGCCTCCGGGATCTTCCCGCCGCGCTCACGGACCCTCCGCAGCCTATGGGGGGCAGTGGATGCAGCGGAGTCAGGCGCGTGGATGCGGCGGAGGCGGCTTATGAGCATGAGCAAATGGGTTGCACATGAGAACACATGGCTTAACATGAGCTGGATCATGCAGGCAACAAAAGGGATGCGTGGGTAAAGAAGAAGCATGGTGGGCTATCAAGTGACAGGAGGGTGGATGCATGGTAGATGAGTAAGCCTTGACATATATCCTTGACATGTATGTGTTGGAGGTGCGGGTCTGGGCATGGGCCGGTACATAGATGGGATGCCAATCTTGGAATGTGGCCTGTGCTTGTGTTGCCATACCATGCTCTACCCATACCCTCGCCTGCTCTTGAGCAGTAGTGGCATAGCCACCGCGTCAAAATCCTGAGGGTAAAGTTGGAGGAGTTGGCGCGTCTGAACCTCAGACATGCCCCGAGAATACACTTTAGTGAATGGAAAATGGCACAGTGCAATCACATGATCAATCCGCCATACATTGCTGTTACATACTCCAACAATTGCAAAATAAATGAATCTGAAGTCCACATCTACAGCAAATATGCTGGATTTGTGTGCTTGGCGTTGTTTCCAGGGTGCTTGTCATATGGCTCCTACAGTCGGCTCGAAACTCAGCTGCTCACTACTCCTTCGGCCTCCAAGGCCGACAAGGAACGTTGAATGACCTCCAAGGCAGATGCGAAGCCAGCTGAAGGACTGCGATCATGACGGATGATCAAACTACTCTTTGTCCCGTGAAAATGCCTGAGATTCTTGATGAGCACCCTTGTCATGAAGGTAAAGGTGTTTGAACGGATTGGGGTCAACAAACATCAATAGAGTGACAAGTGACATGGAATGATGCGAGATCTATACACTTAGAAGCCCCCCGAAGTGGAATTGGTGTATCTCAAAAACAGCCACATGACTGCAAAAGAAGAGAGTAAAACGTCACAAGGTTGATGAATATCAGCAGTCATGAAAGTGGATCTGCAGATGCTATCACTGGTTTACCATGGCGCTTAGCATCGAGAACCTTGCACACCTTATACTTGCACCTGCGCTGAATGGTATGTCAATCACGGGTGGCATATAACTGATTGGGCTCCTGCACTACTTTGGGTGCTAGAGGATACTTGGTCTACAAGGCATTCCTGCGCCAATTTGCTTGTTGAAACCGAATCGTTCGAGACTCTTTGCCCTGTTTCTTAAATCTTGGAATTTGTCTATGCGGAATGTGTCTTGATTGAAGACGGAGCAATCTCTTGGGTAGGGGCAGCAGCAAAACTCTTGAGTCTTTGGGATCAACTGCCTCAACAAAACCTTTACCATGTGGCTGTCCTGTTGGCATTTCGATGCCCGTAGTTAAGGTACAACTCACAATGCCCATGAGACCAGCGCAGCCCTCGTCGTCTCAAACGCTAGGTTTAAAGACGATTGGGTATGGTGTTAGGACAAGTTGCTGTGCACACTGTAACACTGTAGTGAAGCCCACGAGCTAATCATATCGGGAAATTGTCCCTAGAGATTGCTGCAAACACAGCACCACTGGCTTCCGTTTTGGTGGCATCTCTTTTTCAACCAAAGCTGTAGTTCAATGAGTTCAATTAGATACCTTCTTGTTTGCATCTGTTCAATACATGTTAAAGGGTGGAATACTTCTTCGCCCTAGTTCTTCAAATACCTAAATTGCAAATTGCCGACACTTTCATCATCAACGCATCAGTACCTGCACGTCACATAGCTGCATGTACCTGTACGACACCCTAAAGTATAATATGTTTGAATGTGGGTTCTTACAGGTAGTTAGGGAAAACGGCCACGAAAGCCACCAACTGCCCAACTGCCAGCCTAAAACTGGAACACGACTCATTATTGAAATCGAATCGAACTACCAACAGGCAACAGGCCCATGTTTCATCATGTTTCCATCAACAGGTCCGCCTTTATTTTCATCTGGGCGGTGTTCAAAACAGATGTCCCGCCGCCTCTTCACTGACATCATGACCAATCTCCTCGACAAGGTCCTTAAATCAGGTTGCCGGTGGCAACAGGGTGGTTGCCGGTGTACACCGGTCAAGTGCAGCACAGTGATAGATATTGATATTGATAAGCTCTTCTTGATGATTTCTTGATGAAGCAAACACAGCAGTGGGTCCATTGCATTGACAACCTCCCTGCAACTGAATCAATTCCATGATGTGCAACCACATCCAATGGCAAGGTCATTGATGCAGGGTCAAGTCTACTCGATCTGCATCACCCTTCGACAAGTCTCACTCCTGGGGTTCTATCTCGTCTATTTTTGACGATTGGATTTGCAAGCACATTGACCGGTCCTGTTGTTTGTTGTGACGGCCCGTGAACACCACTAAGTGATCAAGAACCTCCCTACCAACACAAGGGACCAGGGAGCCAGATTTCACTGAACTTGTCTGCTAGGCGTTGCGCACCACGAGTTCGCATAACATGTTGTTCCGAAAACAACAACAACAACAACCACCACCACCACAACAACAACACCAGCCACAGCCACAGCCACAGCCACCACCACCACCACCTCAACCACAACTTCAACAACAACAATAACAATGGTCCATCTCTTATCATCTGCCTCCACCAAAGGCACCCCAACATCCCCACCTCATCGTCCCCCGTCCGGTCCAGATGCCCTGAGGCCTCCGGCCTTCACTAGCACTGGGCCTGGGGGTGCGGTGCACTGCGCCTCGTCGCCTGCGCCACCCTCGTAGACAATGAGGGCATCATCCTCTCAAGCGATGGCGCAAGCGAATCAGGCATCGATAGGGGCAGATCCGGGGCAGGGCTAAAAGACCAAAGCAACTCCTCTCTGGGTTTTCTCTACACCTTTTGCGGCATTGCACGAGCACGCACAAATACGCAAAGTTTCAAAGTGTCAAGTCCATCAGCCTCGTCATCTGGAAGCTCAACTGCCAACACCTGAAGCCAATTGAGAAGGTCAAAGGAAAATCTTAGCCAACGCCCAACTGACTCAACCGTATTTCATCTATTGACTATAATTCTACTCCTTGAGCGGGAAAGTCTGCGGGGAAGCCATCTGGACTGGGGCAAGGAAAGGGGCCTGTAGGCGTCAGACTGTGCGCGGGTGGCTGCTCAGCACATCTCACCAACAGTGCTCAGCACATCTCACCACGTGATGTTGCACCCCCATCAATGTGCAAAACCTGTATGAACCATCAGGATTCCCAATGGGATCCATCAATGCACTCCCTCAAGTGTATGAACCATCAGGTCAGGATTCTCCAGATATCTTGAGGCCGATGAGAAAACACTCGAGTTCACGGAGCGCGAAGCTCCTGTATCGCCGCCCAAAGCCAAAGGAGGCGCATGAAAAGCTGGCCTCAGGAAGCTTCAGCATAATTGCGCCCCATGAAGCTTAAGTGTGGAGTCTGTCCAACTTTCCGAAGCTGACATCACTTGAGGCCAGGGGGAGGAGGTCGAAAGCTAGCCGAATCGCACCGGATGTACTAGTTACATAGTCGGCAAAGCATGTAGGGATTACATGTTTTGGGAGGAAGGTTGCTATGTACATACTTTGCGCTAAAGAATGTAAATGTGACATCGCTGACTGGGAAGGGTACATTGGAACAACCCGGGTGCACTCGTTGGCAGGCACGAAGATGCGTGATCGGCAAATCTGGGGGGTAAATTTACCCTCCGCTTTTGTATGCCTTGAGTCGGAAAGAGGGAAAGGCATTTCTGACATCATACGGACTGTACATACACTAGGGCGTCCGTAGTGTAGGAGAAGCACGGGTAAAAGGTATATGGAATAGAGTGTCTTGAGGAAATAGCCGGCTTGTGGTTATTGCAAATCTGGGGGGTAAATTTACCCCCCGCTTATGCATGCATTAGGTTAGAAATAGGGGTAAACAACTTGTAACGGTGAAGTACAAGTCCTATGCAGCAAGCAGCAGCCAGCAGCAGCAGCAGCAGCAGCCGCCTGCAGCCAGCAGCCAGCAGCAACCGCCAACCAGCAGCCAGCCAGCAGCACCACGCAGCAGCAGCGCAGCATCAAGCCGCAGCAGCAGCAGCAGCAGCAGCACCACGCAGCAGCAAGCAGCAAGCAGCAAGCAGCAGCAGCAAGCAGCAAGCAGCAGCAGCAGCGGTGTCGTCAGCAACAGCAGCAGCAGCACCAAGCCGCAACAAGTAGCAAAGCAGCAGCTACAAAAGCGGCAACCAGCGGCAGCAGCAAACAGCAGCAGCAAGCAGCAGAGCGGCAGCAGCAGCACCGTTTACACCAAGCCACCGTTTACACCCAACCAACCACGTTCACACGTTCAACCAACCCCCTACACGGCGCGCAGCTGGGAGTCGAACCGTGGGGGGGGGGACGGGGGGGGGTGGTTAGCGTGATATATCACGCTAAGGGGGGTGGGCCTGGCCCCCCCCCCTTAATTAGTGTGATATATCAAGCTTTAAGGCACACAGCTCATCCCACTACCAATTGCTAAAGCAAAGAAGAACTCAGCTAGCATGCTAGCTTTCGTGATGAGCCTACTAGGGGATACGCATACAGGTCCGTTCACTTGGCGAATCAGGAAGCTTCAACTGACCGACACGCCCCAGTTGGTATGCAGTCACGAGCAGTTAAGTGCTAGCTGCTAAACGTGCTTCTGCGTACAAGGTGAACTGAATTGTAAGTAGGGCCCCTTCAGATTCAGTTCCTACCGCCCCTGCTTTCACCTGAGCTTGTGACCACCCAGGCGCAGACCCACCGCGTGGTGTGCGGCAGCTTGAGCCGAGAAGGAGTGGCAGTGATGAATGCACATGTGAGGGACCACTGCACGATCAAGTGGGTAAAGGTCTCGCAAAATGCATAACAAGCAAGTCAATAGCGGCCACCGCAGTCCATCGTGAGTAGTAGGTCTGTCCAAGTTGGGAGGAGACTGAGACCTGCAAAATTGCCTCGGACTGACATCAGCACGGAAAAATGCCCCTGGATGCGAAAATCTGCGCCAGGTGCACGCCGTCCGCGCCGGCGACCAGTGTGGCGTTGAAGGTCTTTCACCTGGCTGTGGTCAGTTTTGGCAAAGTTCATCAATGAATGCATATCATAGATGCCCTGGGCAGCCCTGACAGTCCTAGCACATTTTAGAAGATCGTCCAAAAGGTAACCCCAGTCCAGGAGTGTCCACTTCAGTGGTGCCAAAGATCGTTGAATTGGACTGAAGTAAGGGTGTGTGTACATTTATTCAAAAAACAATATATATATATATATTTATATATTTATATATAACAAACAAGAAGACCACCCGGAAGAGTCACCAAATAGATCAAACACCCTTGATTGGGGGAGGCCTCATGAAACCCTCATGCAGCCGCTTGGGGGGACGTCGTGCTAAAGGGCCAAACCACTGTGAGGGCAAGAGCTGTTGGGGTCGAGCACCCTGAGGCTAGCGGGGACGCATATGCAAACGTGCAAACCCGAGACACCCCTGTTCAGGTGAGCGATCAGCAATAGGAGCGTTCACCTCCAAAAAAGCCATGTTGGGCAAAACATGCAGCACTTTGCCACTGAGTGAGTCACAAGCAGCGTCTGGAACTTTTCAGCGCAGTCAGTTGGGCGAGGTGAGGAAGCAAGGCCCGCTCTACCATCGGAAAGCCAGGCCCAAAACATGCTTATGTGCGGGTGCTTTAGACTGCAGACCTATTCAAGAAACAAGTCCAGGCTCTGATCTGTTTATGCCAAGATTTCAAGCCAGAATAATTGGGCTGCACGCGGAACCTGAACTTCTCTAACCTTTGCTGAATGAACAACCAACCCAACGAACCCACCCAAGCAGTGATCCTCCCACCCTCACTGTCTTTCTCAATGATATGGCTGTGGGTTTTTGGAGCCCTAATCCCTGGTAGGTTCACCTCCCGCGTAATTAGTCTATTCTTCCCATTTGGATATCAAGAATGATCCGCTAAAGCAGCATCTGAAAGCACCGGCCGATGCGGAAAGCTTCGTACACATCATCGCCCCTTCTCAGCGCCCAAAACCGATGGAAGCGGCTCGAGTGGAGCCCCGAGCTCGGCCCCATGCCTCCGGTGCGGGCAGAGTGCGGCCCCCAATCCGAATCCGAAGATGGGATTGATGGAACACAGCACACCAAGACAGATCCCCTGCAGTGATGTTTGGGATTGATTGGGCCAGGCCCGTGAAAACTCGTCATCTAGCGAATCGATCCTTTTCCGTCGTTCGAGACGTTCTCAAGCAACTTGTTGCGTCATGGCGCGTCTTACAGCAAAGGTTGCTAGTGTGATATATGATAATTGTCCTTGGAAAAAGCCTGGCTGCCGTAGTATGCTCGACGGCCTAAACAAATCACCCAAAGTTCGAGCCTCTCCCTGAACACTCTTGAACAAGAAACACTGTAACTATATCACAAACCAAAAGCACAAAAAAAGTGTTGGTTCTGCTTCAATGGTAAAACTGCCGGGTACAAATACAGTATGCAACCAAAAAGGTCAAACATCTTCAACAATCCAATGCAGTCATGGCCCGTGGCAGTACAGGCAGCAATAGAAGCTGTCCCTTTTCCCGTATTTTTCATGGCACCCCACAGACATCTACAGCCCCTTGACGAACCACGATGGAACCACAACGTCCATGTCTCGCCCCGCGGACTCATCGCCTGTGGGGGCGAAGGGCCGCTTTACGCCTTCTCCCCCGAGAGGGGCGCCAGGAGGGGCGCCGCCGCTGCCGCCACAGCGGCTGCAGTACCTGAGCGGCGCGCCATCCCCCAGTGGCCATTCTGCAGGGTGGGGGGTCTGGGGTTGAAGACTGCTTGGCCATGTCCTTACAAGTTAAGCTGGGCTAATGGCCGGACTTCATACATCCGACGTGGCCTCGAAGTGATTGTAGCCCTACCCAGTCTAAGACTAAGATCACACAGACTGCGTTTTTCTTGGAGATTCAGGGTACAATCTGCAAAGCCATCTGTTCCACCTCCTTTTCACCCAAACCCTGTACATCTTCACCAAAGCTCTTGATCTTGTCCCAACATCTCCCGATGGCAAAGTTAAGCACCCGAACCATCGGTGTTCTGCACCTGCTGGTGTTCCGCTTCCGCCTCTTGCGCAATCTTCCCCAAAGCCAAAGCATCTCCTGCGGATCCGCAGCATCACCAGAATGGACACGAGTCCGACGCGTGCCGTGACGTGTCACGGCAGAAAAAACTACATAGATCGCTGATCACACATGTCAGGTGTCTTCTGATATGTCTTGATCTGACCTGCAAAATCACATGTCAAAGCTGGGTTCCTGCACTGCACAGCCTGCGCACTGCGAGCAACCTAATTTGCATGTCACTCTCAAAAACAACGATCATCTCTATACCTTCTCCTTCTTCTACCCACGCCTTTGGGTGCATCCTAAAGCCTCAACGACTCTGCATCCTGGATTACCTGGCTTGCTCCCTCTCCTGAAAGAAATGGAGATAGTCTTGAAGCCAAGACCGTCTCCTTCAGCTGGGGCGCTCAACAGAACAAGTTGCAAATCATGTTCCCTTCAATCACTCATGCTGGTGATTGTGATCGTTCTTTTCCGCTTCACATTCACAATCGTGACATAACCGCACAATTCCAACAACTCTAAGTACCCTATCTACTCACGGATTACTATAATAAGTATCTAGATGTATCTAGTTTACTTTTATATTGTACCTGTATTGCAGTATGTATACCTGTGTATCCACATGCATGCAATATAGTGTTTTTGGTGTGGAACTCTTGCAAGACGTGTTGTTTAAAGGTGTGTGTGTGTGTGTGTGCGTGTGGCGTATGAATATCACCGATATCACTCTCCGCTCTCCGGTTCTTTTTGTGGGATATCTCCACCCGAAGGTATCCACACGCTTCCACGCCATGCGCTTTCTCGGGCGACTCCTCCTGGTCGGTGCCCAGGAGCTTCACATTCCATTGTCGACTGGAAGACCCCCCCTCGGTGAGTTTGACTCGAGACGTTCGGGAAGTTCTCCATCCCCGAAATCCCTTTGTTACTAGCAGAGTCTTGCCAGGAGCTACTAGAGCTTTTTGCTCCTATATAGTAGCGATGCCCTTTGTTACTAGTAAAGGAAGGTGCTTCAAGAACATCTAGATGGCTGGAAAGAACCCTGAGACTGAAGCGAAAATGCTCGGCATGCAGTTGTGGGGTGCGAAAATGCTGGAACAGAAATGAGCCGAGGCACCTTTGTCCGGTTTCTCAGTACCCCCCAAAAGGACTCTTCCTATTTCATTGCTTTGAGGTGGGGCCCAGGGAGGCCTACCGAAACCAAATATGGGACAAAGGCGGAACCCCGAAGTACTCTCCAAGGGCTTCAGACCTGTTCGACGACAGCGTCTGGAACCGCTGTCTGTCCCACCCCAAAAAAGTCATGATGCAATATCCTGTGGCTCCACTCGGCTATTGGCCAGTTCTGTGCTGGATTATGTGCTAGACCATCTCTTTGAATTGCCTGTATCATGGGTCCTTGGCCCACTTTTGATCGAATATCTGATCTTGAACCAGATGTTGATTGGCCTTTGACACCAACATCTCTGCACTCTAGTGGGCGGGGCCTTTGTGATTTCTGTGCAACCACCCACCACATTCGAAGGGAAACCCCCTCCCAAAAAGAAATAGTCATGGAAAATCATGGAATGGGGTATCTATTCAATTGCTAATTGCTAATGATGCGGCTCTTTTTTCATCATACACACGTTATCACAGGTTCCATACTGCTCTTGATCAGCACGGAGTTTTGAGGTCAAGAAGACTGAGACTTGCATCGTTCTATCCCAGTGCCCTGCAGACTGAGGTACATCAAAGCCTGGCGCTGGGTCGGCAGAGGTGTGGACGATGCCCCAAGTCAGGAGTGTGGGGAACCAAATGAGGGCGGCGGGCCCTTGCCGAAGGGGGCTCATACCTGCTCTGACGATGCGCCTTCAAGATGTTCAAGAAACGTCCTTGTCTACATAGACTGTTGCCTGGTGTTACCATGAGTTTGCCTGGAACACATCTCAAAACAAATTGCTTTCACGCAGCACGGAGACACATTACAACTACCGCGGTGGCTCGCAAATACCTTACCCCATGCTTCCAGGAGGGTGCCCCAAAGTGCGCTGCTGAACCACGCAGCCTTCAATGGAGGAGATCAGCTTCACAGGCCAAGGAGGGCGGCCAGGCAACAAACTCCAGGCAACCTGGCATGTGAGAAACACCTAGGCTTTTCAGTGTCAGGTCTTTTGGGCCTTGTTCCACGTACGTGTAAGGATGGGTGTTGGCTTCTGAGCGGCAAGCGTGAACTGCCACCAAACTGTTCTCGTTGAATACACCACACAAATGACATGATATACATGAACGATCATAAACGACTCATACTGCCCATAGTGAGATGCAACCGGTGCACACGTGTCTTGCAAAGTGCAGCATACAAAAACATCATGTTGCTTCGTTGGTCTGTTTTAGGAGGGACGGTCCGAGGATTATGGACGGTCCGTCTGTCCTCACGTCCGTGACCTTGATCCATTGCTTTGCTTGTGAAGAAAGACGCCAATAGACTCTATGGACTCAACAAAGGGAAAGGAACATGTTCCCCCCAAAGAGCTGAATCTCCACGACGGAATCCGAAACCGGAACATGGCCTGCTGAGGCGCCAACTTGTTGCTCCGAGAGGACCTCCTGAAAGCTGCTTGTTGAGAGATGGGACATCATAAATTCATCCAATTTTTGGTGGAACTCTTCGGACTTTAAGCTGAGCTGGCAGCACAAACCTCGCTCAGCTTAAAAGTCAAAAGGAGGCCCATGTTATGATGTTTGCTGGCTCCAATTGAAATCCTTCCACATTGGTGCGGGTGTCAATTTACAGAGACCTCAACTAAACGGTTCACTGGACGAGAAGGTTCACAAGCCTCATCTTACTTGTCATGGCACCATGCATTCCATACATATATATATATATTCCATGCCCGTCAGCTTCAGGACAAAGAAGGTGCAAACTCTCACAACACAGTGACGCAGTGAAAGTGACAACAATCAAGATCTCCCATTACCTGTTGAACCCTAAGTAGGTTTCACGAGGTGTCCAGGACTATAACAGTTACAAACAATAATTCATTCTCTCCCCGAACAACTTTGGAGATTCATGGGAGGTTCATGCGACCCTTCAATGAAACAAACCCGAATCCAAGCTTGACCTACCGCTCCCTTTCAAACGCCAATCTCAGCCTGATGAGCACCTCAACTGGTACATCTGGTACATCCAGCCGAGGGCCTAACACCAGGACAGCTCGCCAGTCTCATGTCGAAAGGGAAAAAACACACACACGAGCCTGGCACATCGGCTGAGGAACGGGCCTCCGGCATATCGGCGGAGCGGGGACCCTCCCTGAGCCTGTAGCCTGTAGCCTGTCATCTCTAGTTCCTCGTGTATCCTTGGGCTACCACCAATGAAGTCCATGAGTCCGTTCACCATGAATAACCCGCAAGAACACCGCACGCGCGATGCACATACACCAGGGCCTCCGTGACAGAGGGCTGCAAAAGGTGCTTGATATCTAAGGCCTCCAACTGGTCATCATAGGCCCAGGTATCCTGCAAATATCTGGGAGGCTCAAACTCCCATAAGCTGCATGTACTTCCAACATGTTCCTACCCTGCAAAGTGGTGTGTTGTGCAACTTTGTAAGTGGTCTGAGTCAAAGTCACTAGCATAGAAATTAAGTTAGAGTCAGCACCGAATCTAAGCTTCAAAATCCGAAACCTTCAAAATATACTGAAATATATGATCCACAGTCAAAACTTATTGTTCTTCTTCAACCCAAAAATGGGCATTATCGGTCTTGAGCTGGACCTGACCTTATCCTTTTACTGTTTGGTTGGTCCGCCACATGCTGATGATCACATACAGTGCTGGGGTTATCGATTTTGAGGTGGACCTTGCCGTTTTAAAGGGTGTTGTGCACAAACCAACCCCTGATCCCCTCATTACTAAAGTTGCATTATGTTGTATTCGCATGTTTTGATCGTGGCTCAGATGTGTCTTTAAGGCACCACATACACTCAGCTCGCCAAAACGACCTTGTGACCCCCTGCCTCAATGTATGCATCCTCTGCCGGCCTGATGCGCTCCACGTGGATCACGTCACTCTCAGTGCCATCCTCCCATCGCACACGCCCGAAGTGATGATCAGGCCGGCCATCCCAAATGCACACGCCATGGCGCCCGTCCACCAGCACCTCGTCGTGCACCTCTCGTCTGCCCGGACAGGACGGCTGTCCGGTATGATGAAGTTGTCCACCACCAAACGGACATGAGGTTCCCTTTCCAGGGCGGTCGGACGGATGTCTGAAGGCCATAGTTTACGTTTCTTGCCGGACATCCTTTGCTTGAGTGAGATTTAGGTCCAGAAAGCTCCAGTGAGATACCATTCATTTACGATCCATCTTCTAAGATTCCTCCTTTCCGATGCCACAGCGTCCGTAGCATCCAATGCCCACACAAACCAAGCCGCTACCTCCACCGGTTCCACAGGGGTGCTTTGCACACCGGTTCATGACGTGAACGGCCCCCTGACGGCATCAAAAGCACGTCCAACGCGGTCCAAGCCAAGACCGGAGCTGAAAGTGAACAGCCGAACGCTCCAAAATCACCGACCCGGCTGTTTCCCCAAGAAACCTGCGCTGCTTGTCTTGCTCCATCCACGTAATCTGCAATGTCCAAAGCCCTCTTGGAGAGTGTCAAGTTTTTGTATATGCTCATAAATACCAGGTCCGCAAAGTAGCGAGGAATGCCCGAACCAGCGCAGGAGTGTCCAAAATGCTTGGAAGGCATGGGGCCCAAAAAATGACCGCAGGAAGATGAGTTTCATCAACCAACTGGTGGGTTTGGCTTGGTCCCCTTTCTGTCCGATTGAAACAGCTTCCACCCTCCTTTGCAGTCCCATGTCCAACATGCTGCCGGATGAAGCGCCTTGAAGTCAGACGGCCGCTTTGGGGCATCCAAGTGACGGATGAGGAAAGGGTCGGGCCTCTCCGGCGCGATGGCCGTGACCTTGGCCTCGGAAGCGCACCAAGGTCATCCTGCTGGGGCCACAATGCAGTTAAGAGCCACCAGTGCCCAGCTCAACCCATCATCCACTCTACAGCAGGTTATTCATTCATGTTCCCTCGATGCCATTTCAAAGCAAAGGCCACCAACTGAAACCTACATCCATTACTACAGTACTGACCCAAACCAGCTGAGTACGACACAGCTCGGGGTGGTTGTTGCGCACAATCCCAGACCAGTTGACCAATGCAGATCCGACGGCTCATGGCCCGGCGCTTGAGCTTTTGCCGCTCCTGGCGGATCGAAACGGGTGGAGTTTCGACCGGGGCCGGTCCTGGCTGAGCAGAATCGATCGTGGCGAGTTGGTAGTTGGTAGTTGAATCATTCGGCTTCACCCTCAAGTAGAGGATGAAAAATATTCAACCAATATGGAGGCTTGCCTCTTATTGAGACTGTTCAACGCTCCAGGCTCTTGGGTGACCACTCACAAATGCCTGCAGTATCTGCTTTGGAGAATGCTAGGCATGACACAGAAACAGCATGGCAGCAGGTCCCTAGGTTCCTGAAATGCCCAACTTCTATAGCTGCAAGGAGGAACATCAACAAGAACTGCTTGTGGGACTGGCTACAAGTACTGTACGCCATGACCCAACCCGTTCTCCTCAGGTCTGGCGCTCTCCGGACACGCCTCTGTAAGCCTCAAGCATGGACCCGGCGACAAATCTGTGTCCCTCCACATCACGAAAAGCATTCGAGAAGTGTTTTGCACTGCACTCTTTGTGCCTGCTAAATGGCTAAAATGGTAGCTGTTATGTGCTGTTTCCCAACATGTCCTATTTAATGGGGAAGGGAAGCTGCAGCTCAGTTCCACCATCCAATTTGCTGCAACACTTCCAACTCGACAAAGGTCGGAAGAAGTCCCCAGAATCACATGGATCTTACAAGATTCATCCGCAAAGTTCACGTTGAATCCAAGTTTAACACCACTGTGATGATCTATCCTTGGGCTCCTGGATCTTCAACTGAAGCGCGATCCGCAACCCGATCTTGCGGGCCGAATGCCAGGGGGCTCCGTCTTTCGCTTTCCTGACAGGTGCATATCCCCAGCAGGGGGAACTATGTACATGCCCAACCCCTACTGCGCCGTGGGGCAAAATGAGCATTGTCTTCGGCAAAATGTTCATGGCACTGTAGCGAAGTGCGCATTTTCACTGATCTGCCTTGAAATCTTACGTTGGGAAAATTTGCAAAGCTACTTTTTTTGATCCCATAAGTGCACTCATTCTGCTCCCCTTCTCTTTCAGCGAGTCTTCTTTGCAATTTTGCAATTCAACAAGTCACTTGGCACACATGGTCCAAGGAATCTTTGCCACATGTACTGCATCACCAATTTACGGAGCTCTGGATGTTCTTTGATTCATGGCCAAATCTTCTTGCACGACCATGGTCAAATCTTTTACAGTAAGTGAGCGTTAACATCCCCACCCCACCCCACCCCACTCAAAGTCAGTAGCCTAGCGTAGAAGAGTGTCTAATAAAATATGTATTGTACAGTGGGTGTGCACTTAGACAGCATGCAAGAAAAGAATTTGAAAAGATAGAAAAACTTGGACAACAAACAACATGTAACAAAAAGACTTAAAACCGTGAGAAAATCACACGCGTGGCAGGGGTCGTGCTCCAACTACATGGTACCCACCAAGCTTTGGTGATGTCATGTGGCGGAGAATTTTCCCCATGGTAGAAAGCAGAATGAAAGTGAGAGAAGTTGAACACCAAAGGCCAAAGCGCGGCTTGGATGTTTTAAAGGAAAAACATGGGGCTACGGGCTACACATCAACCTCTTGGATTTTGAGGGTGCGTATCTATGTTTCAAGCGCCTCCCAATTACCACCAACCACCCAATTTATGGCATTTTCTATCAAAAACTGATGTTAAATAGATTTTAGGTATTACATACCTCTATATATTTGATGTAAAAACTATATACATAATATGATATATATATATATATTGATAAGTGCTGATAGTTTTGTACACATATAGATATATATATATAACAATATATTTGGATATATAATATATATATATATACACATACACATGTATTGCATGATGTATGTATAGTACTATTGCAGAATTTATGTATTTTTGAGTATAAATATAACTATGTAATATTATATATATATATTGCATCACCCTCCAGGCCTGAGGCCTTGGGTGTCGGCGGCGCTGCCGGAGTGAGCAAGTCCCCCTCCGAGATGATGTCCTGAGATATGGCGAAACCAGGGCGATCTTCGCACGGTTTGACCGACCTGGGAAGGTCCTTGGCCATAGGGTGATTGGAGTTGTCTTCGCATGGATGCATGGATGCTGGTGTTTGGGATTCCGGCTGCCGGTGTTTGGAATGCAGCACATGAATCCTTAAGCAGGTCGAACAAGAAAGGACGCGACAAAGAAAAAGAACACCAGGCCACGATACCTTGGACTCTACGGAGCAGGTTCCCTCTCTGTTTCCGAGCTTCTTGTAGCCTTTGGAGCTTTTGATGATCTCCTCTGCATCGCCTGCAGGGCTGCGGTGAGGTGCCAAATCAAATGTCAGGTTTCTGGTTTCCGACATGCCCCCTGTTTGGAAAAACTTCTTCTGCGAGCTTCTTTCTGGCTTCGCTTTGCATCCTATCTTGCCCCAAATGCCCTAAGAGCTCTCAATAGAAGTAGGACAGTGACAAGGACGACCAAGCAGAAATGGGACTTGCAGCCCTTTCGCCGATTCGGCCGATTCGGGGGACACCCAGGTGGCCTTCGCGCTCGCCGATCGCCGGTCTTCGCTCGGAAGCCTTCCTTCCAACTCGCCCGAACGGCCCGGTGGCGTGAGTGAGTCTCGGGTCCGACCGAAGGACCGAAGGACCTCGCCTTTGAAGGTCGGACTCTGAATAGACCTTTCCCAGGACCAAGCTCAAGCCCAAATGCAGGTGTCCAGCCACGTGGAAGTATCTGGGAACCGGAGGCGAGCCGTGGGGCCAGCCCAGGCGCGTGGGCCGTGGTTTCTGTCGTCTTTCGCGAACGGAGGGAGGTGCGTAGGCTGGCGTAGGCTTAGTTACTTGGCCAACCTGATAGGCCTTCAGTCGTCATCGTTCGATCTATATAGATATATGTGCATTATATGTATATATATATAAATATAAACAAAACATGGTGGTTGTACTGCCTCTTACGGGCAGCAAAAGAAAAGTGGCCAGCGAATATCCACTGGTCATCTCACAATTCCTGGGATTTGAACACGCCCTGCCTTCCGGCCGAGACCTCATCGCCTGGCGCGGTGTAGCTTTGGGGAGAACCTCTTCCGATTCACCCATAGGCCTGCTTAAAGCAGTTGAATCATTGAAACAAGCATGCTGCGCATGCTGCTTGGCACAAAAAATGTCCGGAGCAATTTTTGGGGACGCTCTGACCTTCCTAAAGAGTTGGCTAGACGTCACCGACCACAAGCACCTTGACAAGTGAAAGGGGCGAAGATCAATATGGAAGCACATCTATATAGCTGATCATTCACGGGAAAAAAACTCGTCATACACAATACCTAGACTATACTTATACAATCTTAATAACTTATACCTGACCTATATATATATATATTAACATATACTGGCCTGTACCTTATAGCTAGCTACCTACAATTTACAGCTTCACCAAAAACATATGGTGAGTTAGTGTAGTATATATATATATAGAACTGCTTGCTCAAACCAATGTCGTGAAATCTTCCTTTGGCCTTCCAATCCCTAGGGGAAAAAACATGAAACAACGGCATGCCAGGGACGCCATCCACCAGCGGCCTCGGTCGAACAAGTGACCAACCGGGCGTGATCTACGACAGTGAGGACATCACCAAACCGTGGAGCGTTCGAAAGGGCATGTGCCATATCTTGAAAAATTGAAAAATAAGGTCATTCATGGTCATTCAAAACATCTGTTTAAGAAAACACGTGGATTTGGCCAGCGTTCTTGTCAAAACCGGCATGTTGGGGTTCCAATGTGAAACAAGCATTAGCATCCAACAAAGGCAACTTACCTGCGAAACATGTCGCACCGAGTGTGTATATGACTTAATTGGATTGTGCTAAAAAAGCAGTGTCGTGTCCACTGCTTTGGGTACCTCTGCCTTCCCACTTCCAAGCGGAGCCCGCTATAGATCTATAGTTTGGTAGTGATCACATTCCTCCTTGTTTCTGTGAACTTGTAATGGGAGCTCCAAGTCGGAAACGGAGCATATCACCACACAAATGGATCGGGAATTCATGGGGGAATGGGAGATGATTTTCCACTACGGGTGTGTAGAAGGGTGCAGGGTCCTCACGCCGGCCTCATGCCGCCAAGGCTCTTGTATTCTTCAGCCTCCTGGGCAAAATGCGAGAATTCCGGTGATCGTGGTGGTGAAGGAGCCGTCACCAGTGCCTCTAATCCTATTTGGCTTTGGGAGATTTAAAGGTTTCATGAAGAAACAAAGCCTAGGATGCTGGACGAGTCCGGATTGGAGGATCCCGGGTTCGGTTTTAATGAACTCCAAAAAAGAACACAGGCCGGAACAAAGAAGAATTGTCCACACAAAATGGCTCTGATTCTGGTGTGGCTTCGAACGATTTCTCTCCAAGGCTGCGTTCTTGGCCGAAAGTAGCCACGGACTCCGAAACATGCACCCATCCTCTATGTTCACTCTCTACTTGAGGGTGCGCATCGCACTACTTAGGCCAGTCACGTCTAAAGCCACTGTGGAATAGGAGGTTGTATGAGATTTGCTCTTCTCCCACTCTCAGGAAGTGTGCAGGAGGCTGCAGGTGGGAAACAACTGTTGGCTTTGTTCGCGGCCTGCTCTGTCACAATGGGCTTTGGGAGGGTGTCGTTTGTTGAACTTGGCTTCCCACGTGTCCCATGCAAAATACCCATACAACATAGTGGAAAACAATCGTGCAAGATCGAAAAACATCCTGGGTGCCAAAGCCACGCCTGTGCTTTCGCAATTCTCCTACATCTCTCACATCCAGATCAGCTACGAGTACTGCCGGCCATGGCCAGAAACTGGTCCGCTCTCACTGGTCTGCACTGAAGAAAACATGGATTATCCCGGCAAGAGACCCCAACAGTGTGTGTGTAAGGTCTGCACGCAGAAAGTCTAGATAGACGCATTGGGGTCTGGAAAGGTGATGGTGGTGATGAAGTGAAGGTGGGTGTGAGTGAGTGTGGGTGAGAGGGAGTGTGAGTGTGAGTGACAGTGGGAGAGGGAGTGTGAGTGCGAGCGTGAGTGAGAGTGAGTGTGGGTGAGAGTGGGTGTGAGAGTGAGTGTGAGTCTAAGTGATCGTGAGTGAGAGTGAAGGTGGGTGGTAGTGAGTGTGGGTGAGAGTGAGAGTGAGTGTGAGTGAGAGTGGGTGAGAGTAAGTGTGCGTGAGAGTGAGGTTGTGAGGGAGTGTGAGTGTGAGTGAGAGTGAGAGTGGGTGAGAGTAAGTGTGCGTGAGAGTGAGAGTGTGAGGGAGTGTGAGTGTGAGTGAAAGTGGGAGAGTGACAGTGTGAGGGAGTGTGAGTGTTGAGTGCGAGACTGAGTGAGTGCGAGTGTGAGTGAGAAAGAGTGTGAGTGAGAGTGAGTGAGTGAGTGAGTGGAGTGATGGAGTGAGTGAGTGAGTGAGTGAGTGAGTGAGTGAGTGCGTGCGTGCGTGCGTGCGTGCGTGCGTGCGTGCGTGCGTGCGTGCGTG